AAAGAATATCATTCTTTCAATCTTTGCTGGCTAGCAAAAAAAAAAAGGAAAAATCACTATCTTTTGAAGTATTCAGTTGAAAGCGCTAGGTGAGGAGAGAGCACTGGTGATAATTCGGTTGATCAAAACTTATCTGTCATCAACATGATTAATGTTAATATATTTTACTATTGTGAATAGTCCCAAAACAATGATGTAATCACCATGTCACTCATATTACCATACCTGGGTATAGCATGGTGATTAAGATCATGTGGCCTAGGGGCTGGCCCAGTGGCACAGCAGTTAAGTTTGTACGTTCCGCTTCTCGGTGGCCCGGGGTTCGCCAGTTCACCATGGCACCGCTTGGGAAAACCCATGCTGTGGTAGGCATCCCACATATAAAGTAGAGGAAGATGGGCATGGATGTTAGCTCAGGGCCAGTCTTCCTCAGCAAAAAGAGGAGGGTTGGCAGTAGTTAGCAGGGCTCATCTTCCTCAAAAAAAAAAAAAGATCATGTGGCCTAGAGCCGGGCTGGAATCCTGGCTGTAACACATTTTAGCCCTGCAATCTCTGCAGGTCACTTAGTGTTTCTGTGGTCCACTTTCTTCCCCTCTAGAATGAGGACACTATTTGTACTTACTTCACAGTATAGTTGAAGGGATTAAATTAGTTACCCCATGTAAGGCACTGTATCAATAAGGATCTCAATAGGAAATAAACGGTATACTCCATTCATTGAGGGCCTTTTCACAAAGATGTGGGACTTATAGGGGTGCCACAAGGAATAGTGCTGAAACCTGGGGCTGTTAGTAGTGGACCTGATATCACTCCTAGGCCTTAAGGTACAAGGGGAAAAAGGGTTACTGGAACCTATAAGGAGAGAGAGTTATAGAGAGTAGGCTGCCTTGAGAAGTAGCTAATCTGCGGTCTGAAGAAAACAGTGAACGCAAGGTGACCTTGCAGGGAGAAAGCCAGAGAAAAAATGTTTGACCTCACTGGCCCTTCCACGCTGATGTCCTGCTGGGGCTTTCCATTGGCTGAAACCACTCAGAAGCCAGAAGCTTCTGGCAGGAAGCAGGTTGAGCAGCCCAACCACCAGGCCAGAGACCAGGTGGGAGAGAGAAAACAGGAGCTCTGGAGGAGCAAATGAAGAGATCCAGCTCAAGCACTTTGACGTACTGAAGCCACCTGATGATTTCAAGTCTCTTAATTTCTACCAACACACATGAACTGTAATTAATTATGTCATACCAATCAGTACCAAACGTGAGGATGAACTCAGCTAGACTGCAGTTCAAGATTAATATAACCCTATATTCATTTTGACTGATACAGACCAGGGACCAGGAACTCGTTATTTATTCAATTTATTATGACCCAAGAGAAAAGAATGAGAGAAGAAGTACCACAGGACCTAGCTGTAGCCTGTCTCAGATTGCCCCACAAGAAGCTGCTGTAGTATTTTGTAACCAAGCCAAACCAATAAAGAGAAGTGTGGTAAGGGACATGTCTGAGGCATAGTCTCCAGAGCCTTGAGCTCCTACAGTGGAACAAATGCAGAGCCACGGGTGAGAAGCTGAGAACTGTATTCGGTCTGGCTTTTTATTTATTGTGAACAAAGACCATCGAGTTCTGAGATATACTCACTGTAGCATAATGCTTGAAAATAGCAACCTGAAACCTACTTTCTTATCACTTGGAAATATACTGGAAAAGGTATGAAAATTTTCAAATTATGAAAAAGTCGATTTTTAAGTGCAAAACGTAAGAATTAAGCATCAGGTCATGAAACGCTGGTGTCACACAATTTAACAATAGCACACATTTCCACACACATTTGGTCACAAAGCCAAATACAATGCCAGGTGTCATTTTAAATTTTGTTAATAAATCGCAATTTTTATTATCTAATTAATGCAAAGTACAAGAAAGTGTGTGTCATTTGGTAAATGGGGAAAAGTCAAAACATTTCTTTGTATTTATATAATTAGAATATTATAAAATTTTTATTAAGACTAAAATTTATTATGCAACATCTACTAATATAGTGATATAAACTAAGATAATACCTCCTTTTAATCTATATGTCCAATGGTTACACAGTTTAAAACATCTCTAAGGGGCTTTTCAATATTATATTACAGCGAAAGAGCAAGTGAATCTAAAAGGGGGATAAACATTGCTATAAAGGAATGCTGTAATTCAGACCAGAGACGTAGGTAGGGGCCAATTCTGTAGTCTTGCATGTGAGGCCTCGAATAAGGAACTGAAACTTCATTCTGTAGATAACAGTAGGTCACTGAAGGTTTTCAGCTGGGAAGGAATAAAGCTGGTGTAACAGTTTAGAATGATGCACTGGGACTGCAAAATGACCTGGAATAGGCAGGGCCTAGAGCAGGAGGCCAGCTGGAGAAGCAGGTGGGTGGGGACCACTTGCGGGCAAGGCCCTGAACTGAGGACGGCGTGGAGAATGGACCGACAGCAGCAGACAAGAGAGACAGTGAAGGAGAGGGAAAGAGAAGGAGGGAGGGAGGGAAAAATGGACTGTGCAGGAAGAATGGTCAGGACTTGTTATTGACTAAATGCAGAGGACGAGGGTGAAAGTTTCAAGCATAAACAATGCCATGCCACCAACAGGAGAGAGACCAGAGGCGGCAGTGGGTGACTGCATTAAGCTGATAGACAGGAAAGGGAGGAAGGGAGGACACCATCCAGACGGAAACGACCACAGGCAGAGGAAGACGGAGGGACAGAGGAAGCCCTTCTGCGTGGTTCAATCCACTATGACTGCAAAGTTCAATCCAGAGATGTGAACTTCAACCAAGAAAATATACAGACAATACCACAGTGACAAGGACTAGACGTAGGGTTGCCAGATAATATACAGGATGCCCAGTTAAATTTGAATTTCAGATAAACAACCAATCATTTTTTAGGATAAGTATGACCCATGCAACATTTGGGACACATTTACTCTAAAAATTGATCATTGTTTATCTGAAATTCAAATTTAACTGAGTGTCTTGTATTTTCTGTTGCTAAATCTGGCAACCCTAACTGGAAGTGATAGGAAACGAACTTCTGAAAGAGGCAGATGGAACTGAAGACAAAGGCCTCAGTGGTAAATTTAGTAAAGAGAAACCCAAACTTTAAAGAAAATGTCTTCTATGCTCAATTTTTTTCTAAACCACCTAATTTCCCCAAAGTAGCCATTGTCATTCTTTTCATAACATGAAAGCCATATGGAGACACGAGGCACTTTGGTTTGGTTTAAGGCCACTGGAATAGAGCATTCAGAGTCGTGCTTAAGAAGAATTTTACTGTGGAAGTTTCAAACTTGCTTTTTCGTCCACACTTCTAATCTTAGAGAGATTGAAAATATCAGGTAAATTGCCAAACAACTTTTTCAATATACTAAAATTGTGATATATGACTCATGACAGTGAGGCCTTAAACACATCTGAACATGTTTACAATTCAAATAAAATATGTTACGTGTTTTTATATGGCTAACAAAGTAGAATGATGGTTATATCACTGAGATATTTCCGAACCGCTGTTCATTACTCATTTTGTCAAGTAATGTCTAAGGGGAAATATTTTTACCATACCTACACTTTAATAAATTTACTCGAGGCTACTTAATATACAACCCTAATGTACTCTAATTGCGCTTAAAGGATTTGCAATATGTGAGGTGAAACAGAAGAGTTATACTCAATTTTCTGTGTGTGAGAGAAGAATGTACTTCACATACATAAGCCTCACTTTTAAAAATCACACAACAATGTCCCAGCTAGTTAGGACAGAAATGAAGCAGCCTCTGAACATCAAAAGGCTAAATACCATAAACAACTCTCATCTGTCAATTCACTTAGGGAAGAATGGCAGCAGTAATGGAATGGCACATGAGAAAGCAGCAGTGACGCAGTATGAGTGCAGAGCCATGCTGCTCGGCTCAGCGCACACAAATGCCTTGGGAAAGTCAGCACACACCAGGACTCAGAAGATCCACCAGGAGCCACTTGGTAGCATGTCTGAGGTCTTAGGCAAGAGAAGGAAAGGAGCTCCAAGGATACTAAACTAGCACAAATCCAGAGATAATAAGACTTTCCTTTCCTAACTCGGATCCTAAGGTGACCCAATGCTTGCTGTATGTCTTAGGAGATAAAGTATGAGGCAGAGACTCCTGCTTGGCTCCCAGTGGTCACTCTCCCCTTTCTTCCTTAGTAATCAAACCCCAGATTTTAGCTGGGGACTTGGCCAGCCAACTAAAGGAATTACATTTCCCTGCCTCATTTACTGCTTGGTGTGGCCACGTGACTAAAGTAAGGCTAACGAGATCTAAGTGGAAATGTTGTGTAGTACCACCAATAATTCGCTTTACAAAGGAGCAGCTGCAACCTTCTCTTACTCTCTCCTTCCTGCTGTCCACAAGGTACATCTTTGGGCTGGAGTTCAAGCTGCCATCTGTACCACAAGGTGATGTGATAAGGATGGTGGAACAACAAGAGAGAAGGAGCCTGGGTCCCTGGTGGTCAGAGAGCTGCCAATATAGCCTTGGACTGCCTACATCCAGGTTTCTTTTATGTGAGATAATAAGTGCTCATATCTTTAAGCCATTATTAAGTTTTTCTGTTACAGATGAATCAGCACCTCATTGTCGGAACTAGAATGTATGTATATGTCTGTAAAATATCTCAAAGTGTTTATAGGCTAACACACGTAGAAACCAAATGCATTTTAGTTCTTCTTCATCTAATATGATACAACTACAATCAACCCAAATTATACAGACATCTATAAACTTCCCATTATTAGATGAGCTAATTGTTAGATACCATAAAAGGACAGAGCGAAAATGTGAACAAGCTCTGCTCTGGTTCTTCATTTTCTATAGTTGCCCTTCAAAGTCCTCAAGCCTTAAATATCTCATATGTATGTTTGAATGGATTTGGCTTTGTTTATTTTGCCTGTTTATTCCAGGCAGAGGTTTATCAGCCAGCTTGTGTTCTTACCCCTCTGCTTCTGGCATCACCAACATCCTGTCCTTTGGCAGAACCTCTCCCCATCTGCAAGTGGTACAGGCAGGGCTATCAGTCAGGTTGGGGAGATCAAGGTAAAGAGAGTACCCCATCCTCTAGTGACAGTGACCTCTCTGGGGATGGGCATGTGACTCCAGAATCCTCACGTGGTCATTCTACTGAAGCCAGTAGGAAAGATAAACGTCCTGTTTTGAGGGTCATGGCTCTGCGAGCCTGTAAACTTAGAGTTGCCAGCTACATGGAGGAAACTACATGGAGTGAAGCCAACACGTTCCTAGACTTCCTAGCAATGTAAGGCAATAAATTCGTTTGATTTGATTTGATGTAGGTTTCTATCCCTTGTCATTGAGAAAGTTCTGGAGAGTAACATTAGACTGGTCATTTTTCCATGGTTCAACGACACATGGAGGATAAAATAGATTGGGAAACTACAAAATCAACAACTTTTTAGTATCTGTCTTAGGATCTACTTAGCATGTAAAATTTTGATTCATATTCCTCATAATATTAGTCATATAAGATTATTAATATCACATGGAAATTGGGAAATCTTTGGAGTCATGCCTTCATCTAATATAGATAAGAAACGATTGCCATGATTTTCATCCTTATAATTATATGTAAAGAAGCTAACTAAGTTTTCATGTCAGGTCAACATTTAGAAAATAGTTTTGGTATGCTGCTTAAAGGTTCATTATTTTGGTGGCTTCCTTGGAAATCCAAATGTTATCGTCCTGACACACATAATTTACCTATGTACTATGTCTTTTGTACATTATCTGTCTCTTCTGCAAGAATGGCAGCTTCACAAGGACAGGGATCTTTTTCTGTTCCATTCACTGATGACTCTTAAGCGCCTATAACAGTGCCAGCCCACAGTAGAGACCTAGTGGATATTTGTGGAATGAATGAAGTCTGAAACTATTAGATAAATATGCAGTTCCTATGCAAGCCAGAATTATTCACATCACTGCAATGCGTTTTTCTTTGTTGTGCAATAGGCAAATTAGATTCTTCATTCCTCAAATTGTTTACAGCTAATGCTTTTGTATTTCCATCTATTTTAATTAATGAAAATTCCCATGATAGAGCCATACCCTCAATGCATGCTAATTAAATCATGTTGTTCTTATAACTGTAGCCATAAAAGGCTTTCTGAACACTAAAAACTTTGTTATAAAAGCTTAAACAGTTGAAATAAAAAGAAAACCCCAGTGGCTGAATTCTTTAGTTGCTTGTTAAGAATATTTATCTCCTGTGAGGCCCTGTTTTGCCTCAGTCTAAATGTGAATAGAAGTACAGTGTGTTTTTACTTAGAAGTGTGTATTTTCACTCTTAATTTAGGTGCATAGCAATTGTGTTAAGAATTATTCTTATTCATAGATAAAATATTCTTCATCCATAGCTCTGTAGAAATTCAAATGTATATTTACTAATTGTGGTCACTCTCAAGCACTAGGATCTTGGGAAATCAATATTCTTTTTACTTCTGATTTCATTTGGGTTAATTTATCATAAGAACATGAAATTTTCTTCTCATTGAGACAAAATCAAGATTATTGTTACAACTAGGAAGTATCCTTTTTTTTTAAATAACAAACTTGTGCTGCATGGCACTTTAGAAAATGGAGTTACTTCTTTAACGGGAGAAAGTGTTACTGGAAGTTACTGAAATTGTTATTGAAACATATCTGTATGTTTCTGGTAGAGGTACATACAGATATATGTATGTCCTAAAACATAAATGTGGGAGTTGTAATATGTTGGAGTTATAATTTTATATAACACAAAAAAACAATAATACTTTATTAATAGGATATCTTGTTTGATCATACAATTTTTCCTGGCTTGCTTGCCCACATATTCATCTATTAGATCACCACATTTATATTTTTAGCAACTTCATTTTCATTTGATATAACTGAAAGCTCTTAGCAAACGCAAGATCACAAACGATTCTTTTTCAAATTTTTTTTTCTTATGATGAGAACTTTTAGCATCTACTCTCTTGGCCACTTTCAAATATACAACACAGTATTATTAACTATGGTCACCATGGTGGGCAGAGGTGGTCAAAATGTACAAACTTCCAGTTATAAAATAAGTCAATCATAGGGATGTACTGTACAAATAATTCTTGATAATTTTTAATCTTGAGAAAGATCTTTTTGCTGATGCCACTGTTACTGGAGCTGTTAGTATTTTATAGGCTATGACAACATTGAGATAAATTTCTTATAAATTATTTCAAAATACAAATTTTAGTATATCTAAACTGATGAATCATAGAAAAGAATTTCTCTAAAAAAATTTAACTCCTCATACAAATCAGCTTCACGAAAGCTTGAATTTAATTTTAAATGCAAATATATGTAATGCATTGTAATGTCTCCTCTGACATCTCCTGTAACTTGCAGAGGCTGAACGAGTAACTGAAAGTTACTTTACCATTTGTACATAATTCAAAGCACCTGTTTATGTATTCTACCACTGTATCTATGACTACAAAGAAAACTTAATTTCAAAATTGTCTTCTTCATTAATGGTTCATCTGAAGCTTTATATGTAAATAGTGTCCTTTTCTGTTGAATGTGATGATCTTTAAATTTAATTTCTATTTCTAAGCCTGGAGATATTTGCTTTACAATGTCACAGCAGTTTTGGAAACTGAAAATTCTAATCTCTTTGAAGAATTCTAACAACTTTCTGATGTGCTTTATTGCAATGTCCATATGTCCACTTTTATTCTGTAATAACTTGCTGATAAAGCTTGCTGCCTGAACACCAGCAGTTTCTGTCCGGGTGCTGAGGACAGAGAGTTAATATCAGCCGCTGCCGGGATCTACTCTGGGGACCCACAGGACAGCCAGCCTCCCACAGCTGTCCTGGGGCTGCTCTCTTGGGAAGCCCCTACCCTCTCGTGTGGCCATGCTGCCCTTCTGCTGATGCTGCCATGGTCGCTACTGCCTAACTGGGTCCAGGTCCCAGAGTGCCTGCCCCTCAGGGTCGCATGGCGCCCTGAACTGTTCCCAGATGTGCAGTGCACAGCTGACCAAACCCTATGGCATGAGCGCTGCCTGCCGTGCCCGAGCCCACATGTGTGCAAGCTGCTGCTGGACCACAACCACGTGCGCATGCAGCTGCTCCAGGGACCTCCTCTCTCCGGGAATATGCTCCTTTGTCCCATTGGACTTCACTTACAAAATGCAAGTTCAAAGAGAAAATTATGAAGAAGCTCAAGACAGCAACAACAGAAGATCAAATCACACATGGGGCCCTTTTCAGTGCAGGGTCCCAAGCAACTGCACAGCCCAGGCCCATGAAGCTGGAGATGCTTCTAGGCCATCACAAAGAGCTGGGCTTTTGCTCTGAATGAAGTAGGGAGCCATTGAAGGGTTTTGAGCAGAGAAGTGACACAGTATGTGTCACCTGCAGTCACTAGTGAAGAATATAGATTTTTGTATTTCACATTAGAGAAGTAAACTTAACAAATTCCTCTGAGTCAAGCATTAAACTTGATTTTCACAACTACTGTTTTGCTTTTGGACATTCAAAATCCTCAAAAGTAATTTTTTACAAAACATCATGTTGTACAACCTAAATACATACACTTTTTATTTTGTCAGTCATACCTCAACAAAATTGGGGGAAAAAAGTAATGTATATATCTTTATTCAGGCATAAATTAAGCATAAACAAAGTACATCCAGTCTACATATAGAATGCAATGCTGATTTAATTAGATGGATTGGCTGCAAGAATAAAAACGGAGGGAAGGAGGGTAACTCTAAGACTATAAGTGCATGTGGAAACAGGGATTTCCACCAAGCCTCTAGATCTCTGAGGACCTTCTCCTTCGGTACCTCTGTGTAGGTCAGAGCCTCTGCTGATTCCTAACTGTCCTCCCTTGTAGCCCCCAGTGACCTCTCCAGTTCTCACTCTCCACCCGACGGGCTTTCAGCTGCTGCTCTTGCTGCCAGCACTCTACCGTGCACAGAACTTTCCAGTTCACACTGCCAAGAGTGACACTCCAATGGCCCCAGCTTATTTCTATTTGGGCAACACTTTTAGCCCCAGGTCCACCTCCTAAGACATGGGCAGCCTTTGCATGGCTGTCCTTGACTTAGAGTCCTTCTTCTGACCCCATCGGCCCTGGCTGCTGGGGACAATGTCACAGGGTTACAACAGACCTCCCTAGGGTCACTCTCACCCCCACCGGAAACTCTGGGTGGGACAGTATTCCCTTATTAGAATCTGTTGAGGATGACGGGCATGGAAATGACATAACTGAACCCTTGTTCAAAATGTCTTCTGACATACAGCTTAATATCTTTCACTTCAGTGTATTGTGCCTGAAATTCCATCAGTCTTGGCCTAATTTTGGTAGAAAAAAGATCTTTCTTCATAACAAAAATTCCTCTAAGAAAGTTAAGACTTACTTGCAATGCCTGATATATAGCTAGCACTCAATAAATGTTAGCTGAATGAGTGATGAATAAAGTTCAGTTTATCTAATCTAGCTGTTTTCTTCTGAGAATAGCTACACTGAATGAAGGCATTTTATGGACGAAAGGAAGAAATGTCATTTGGAGCACAGGAAAACTGGACAGAGTATGGGTAAAGGGTGTGGTACTTAAAGGACCATACAGAGATCATGGACATCCGGAGCACAAGGAGGAAAAATCCAGGAGGTGGGAAGTAAAAGAGAAGTTGCCTCTGACCTCTCAGCCACCCCCCACCCCAAAGACCGACCAAGACAAAACAAACATCTCAACTTTGACTATTTATAATGGTTGGGAGAAAAGAGTTAATACTGTCAAATAATGCTGAAAGGTCAAATAGGATGAGGACTGAAAGATGTCCACTGATTTGTTGACATGGATTTCACGGTGAATTTAGCAAGGGTGATTTCAGTGAAATGAATGAAATGCATAAACGTAGCTGTGTGATACAGCAATGTAAGGATCCAAGGACTATGAAAGGAAGATCTACCCTAGTCTTAGCTCCACAGCCGAACTACTGTGTGA